ATTAATAAATATTTAAGATATTAAAATTTAAATGAATACCGGAAAATCTTATTAGAATCAATTAAGTAAGGGGATTGCTTATTTTTACATTGCCAATTAAAAAATATTAACTTCTTATTTGATATTTTTCAACAATAAAAATTATTTTTACAATAAAAATCATTAGAATCAACCCCAATGCGTATGAATGAATTTTCTCTTACAAATGTTTTTTGTTAAAATCAAAATTGTTAGATTTTTTTATCATTATATATATTAAAAGGAAATATTGCAAGTTTTTTGGTTGTTTATGTGTTATTATGAGAATGTTTCTTATTAATTTTAGTTACAAAAGTGAACAAGATGTTATACAAAAAAACTTTAGACTAAAGAGTATGTAAAATTTTCTATATCTTTTTACCACACAAACTTTACACTAACGAGTTATATACTCAAATTTTGCATATTATTTCCTAATGAAAGTCATATGTATTGGGTTTGATTCTAATGATTTTTATTGTAAGAAATAATTTTTGTGGTTGAAAAATATTAAATAATAGAATTGTTTTGTATTTAAATAAATCAAATAAGAAGTTAATGTCTTTTAATTGACAATGTATAAAATAAGCAATTCCCTTACTTAATTGATTTTAATAAGGTTTTCCGGTTTTAATTTAAATTTTAATATCTAAAAAATTTATTCATGGTTTTTATTACACTTTTAGTTTAATTTTAAAATTGAAAAAAACTAACAATTATAAGATTTAATGCATTAAATATCTATATATATATAATATTTATATTGAATATAGAATTTCTTTTGTATACAACACCAAATAAAACTATTTTCTTATTTTTTTTAATATTAAAAATTAATAAATGTCTTTTAAAGATATTTTTGTTGGTCAATGCCGGTCAATGTATGAGTCAGTCGACCGGTGCACCGGAATTGTATGTGTATGGTGTTAACCACATGACATTGTATAGTTCATATATGTGGCCATGCAATACATCTACTTCGTGTAGCTAATGATACAATAATATATTTGGCATGTGTAGTTATGTATTCCGTGATACTTCAGGTAGCTAGCAATCTTTTTTCCTATTTCATACTATCCAGTTCAAGTGGACTGAACCAAATTGAGCATTTCTAAAAAAGTTCTGGTACTATATGCTCTCAGGCCCGGCCCTGGACAGATTTTAACAAAACATTTGTATTGGGCCTCAAATTTCTGAGGCCCATTTTGTGAGTTTTTTTTTTTTTTTTTTTAAAGCCCCACAATTAGTAAAATAGGCCTCAAAATTAGTAAAATAGACCTCAAAATTAACAAAAAAAACCACATAATTAGTAAGAAGGCCTCATAATTAGTAAAAATCTTATAATTAGCAAACAATGTCCAAAAATTAAGAAAAAATGTTAAATAAAAATTATAAATGGCCCATAATTAACAAAACAAAAAAAAAAATTTAACAGTTTTTACTTATTAAAAAGGCCTCAAAATTTTTTTTCGTATTCGGCCTCCTATTTTACCGGACCGGCCCTGTATGCTCTATAGAGATCCAATTAAATCTCTTCGTTTGAGCTTCCATCCTGAAAAAATAATCAATTAGTTAGAGTGTTAACTGATATGTGTCATGAAGAAACCAAAATCAGTAGCTATTATACATACCTGTAAATTTTTCATCATGGCAACGCAACATGATGATCTGGTTTCTGCAACGCCTCTATTCATTTCCATCATTTCCATTTACCTTAACCACCACAATAGGGTACCCAACAAAATACCCACTTTCTCCGGTGCCAAAAGAGTGATGGAAGTGTAGGATCTCAAAGTTGTTTGATGGCTTGGCCATTACACTCTCCAATCCCAGATTCTGATTGAGCAACAATCTCTATTAGTTGGTTATTCAGCAGAGACAAAAACTTCTCCAGAGAAATAGTCATGTACGAGGATATGATTCTCGGATCACCATATTTTCAACATAAAGAAGCAAATAAGAATTGTGTCAGGGAAAATGTCGTAATCCTAAAAACAGGTAAAAGTTTTCTTTCTCTGATCGCCATCACGTCATCTTCGGGCATCACAAACCCCAATAATTCCCATAAAAAATATATCTGGTTTTATACTCTAAAATTGTTAGAAGTTAGAACCGGTTCTCAACAGAGAGACTCATGAGAACTCTCTCTCTCACACACATGTCACTTTAACATTGGTTTAACATTTTATTTATAAATCAAATACCTTATGATTGAAGATATTGATTAAATAGTTAATAGATTTTTTTTTAACAATTCATAAAATAAAATTATCTATATATGAAACTCCATTATGCATAAGTTAAAATTATATTAATATTATTTTAATTGATATTTGTTAAGTTTTTATAAAATACTAGATTAATATTATTATGTTAATACAATAATATTGATATTAGAATAAATAGAAATTTTCAATACTAAAAGACATATCTTTTTTTGTCAAAATTTTGATATTTTAGAAAAATAATGTTTAATTTCTGTCATATTTTTGTACAAAATGTCTAATACAAAATATTTATGATCTTTTTGTAGCTAGTTTTATAAATAAATATATAATTAATAAGTATAATTTAATATATTCAAAATGTAATTTGACATATAAATTTTAGTATTATGGATTTATAAAATTTAATATAAATTTTTTGGTAAAATATTGACTTGAACCACATCATGATGTGTACCAGATTCCTTTTCCTAGAAGTTTCAGGACTTCAGGGAGAAGACTGAGATGAAAACATATATGTAATAGTTTCTTGAGATTGATGATTGATCGTAAAATTCGTAATGATGCGGGTTTAAACGATTGATTTCATCTACTAGGATACTCTGATTTAAACGAATGTTTGCTTTTGGTTATGGTATACTTTTGAACACAGTAAAACATACTTTTTGGTTAAAATATTAATATTGTAATCATGAGAGACCTATATAGTATCTTACCAATGGAATGATAATTTTATGATGAATTTCTCCTAATAAACAATACAAAAAATATGTATTATTTTGGTCCAATGAAGATGCTCTTAAGTTGTTGATCTGATCGGTCAAGCCATCAACGTCATCAATGTTTCGGTTAATTTTTTTTTTTTCTAAACCATTGGTAATTGCAATATTATAAGGGACAAACTTTAATTTCAATTTTAAACTAATTGTGGGTTTGGGTTTGAAATATTGTTGCTTGATAACATTTATTTAATATTAGCTAACCCATGTTAAATTTTAAAATTGAAAGCAAAATCAATATTAAACCAAAACATTTAGGTTTTATTTGCACTTTTGGTTCAGAGTAATACTAAATCTCAAACCGATATGCCGGAAAGATTACCTCGGTGCGATGGTTGTACACACATAACCTATCTTCTTCTAGAAATCTTCTCAGTACCATACACTACTCAAACCAACATTGTCAAAGTCTCATGTATCTCTAGATTAAACCATGTACATGTTGAAGTCATTGGTTGTTAAAAAACGTATTGTAAATTGGCATACATGATCGGCTCCATGTTGATCGATACAACAATTACACCGAAATAATATTTTTGGCATATATGTATTCATATTATTAATGACTATCGTTCGATAGCTTAAATTAAATAAGTATGTTTATTAATAAACCTGAAACCGAATAATATGTTTACTTTTATTACAAATGACAACAACATGAAAACTGAATCACCTTTTGATTGGAATAAATTATTAATATTAAAACTGAACAAATGTTTTGCATAATAAAAACTAAAATAGTTATTGTTTATGAATGTTCCGTTTTTAGTTATATTTTTAATACGACCAAAATATATAACAAAGTTACTTTTTAAAACAGAAAAACATGAAGAAAAACTCTAATGAAAAATATATAAATAAATAAATAAAATACAAAAACCTAAAAATATAGTTTACTATTCACCACCAATTATTAAATAGTATAAAATACCGAAGTGTATGTATTTTGTAAGATATGTACATGAAAGAAGGCGGCTGTTATTTATATAATTATATGTATGTATGTTGAAACAAAACAATTATTTTGTGGTATTGGTACCAACCAATTTTGTCACTATCAGATCACTCGCTTCTCCATGACACCGCTGTTTCTTGGCTCTCCCAATTCTTTTGGTGCCTAACTGTAGTAATAGTTTTTTTGTTTGTAAAGAATATTCAACTATGATTAATGCATTTATTCCACTCATAATAAAGTTTTATGCTCACCAGCAAGGTTGGTAAGAGCCTCATCCATTATCTAATTATTATAGAATTATTTATATATTAAGATTAATAAACAAATATTCATAACAATCATTTTCAGGTTTACATGGATAGGTGTAATGTGTACAATTTTTAGTCTTTTTTGGTTTTATTTACATTCCTATCCCAAAGTCCTGATATAAATATTAAACGAGTAATTAATTGAAACGGTATGAAGTAGTTTTTATAATTAATTAGTGTCAACAATCACAATCGCTCTAAAACGACATATTTGTTGTCAATTGGGCAAAAAGCCAAAAATCAATCAAGTCCTCAGTTTATTATAATATCCCTATTTTTGGCTACTTTTTTTTTTTTTTTGGCTACTTATATCCAAAATTATGGATGTTTGAAATTTCTAAACAGATTGTCCAAATTTCTGGATATTTGAAAATTTGGGACTGATCGAATAGGTAACAAACATGTCAATCTCGACATCCCAGGTATGTCAGTCAATGCCTCATAGTTTTTGAGCACTCAATGACTTTAAAACACCTAATATTTTTGTTTCCAAAATTTGTTGTGGATTTGTTATTTTTCTTGTAGACTCTAGTCTAAACCATATAACAGATGAAACCAAAGTTGGATTCAAGAAAGTCCATATTGACTATATAGGGTCTGTTCTTTTGAGAGTCGCGCGGTCTCTCCAACAACACCTTTTTAAGACTCATTAATTAAAGGGAGAAGACACCGGCGACAGTCACTGATTCATAATAAGTATGAACGAGGAACCAAATTCATATAAAGGGTGTACGTAAAGATATATACCCTAAAAACCTTATTCACTCAATAATATGAGTAATAGTCAAGTATGGTTCTCATTGAGAAACATTGAAAACAAAACGCCATAATCATACAAATACATAGAACGAAGAAGAGAGCTATTTTGGTTGCTCGTACCAACCGGAGCGTACCAAACAAGCTAGTACAAAAACACACTTGTGATATTTGGTACGTTCCGTTTTCTACATTGGAATAACCAATTCAAAGCCTTCAGACTTTTAATACCTCGGACCTCGTACCAGCTTCCTCTCATAGGAATTGTTCCGGAAACTACCAACCGAAGTAGACCGTTCGGGTTTGATCGGGATTGTTGTGGATAGCCATTCAAGTCCTTCGTATAATCCTTGCCCAGAGATGGCTGAGGTTCCTTGTATAAGCCTGCCCCAATCATAATCAGATACAAAGTTTTTGTTTATCCTCTACCTCTAAATGTATCTATAGGAAACACGAGATGATGTTTTTATTATTACCAACAACGTTTGGATAGGCTGTGTAGACCAAGTTTGTTGGCAACCTCGGCTACTGGTAAAGCATTTCTTGAATCTTGCTTGTTCGCAAAGACGAGTACACATGCACCTTCTAGTTCATTCTGTGTATTTTTTTAACCAATACAGAAAGTTGTTAGGACCAAAAAGAGGACAGAATAAGTAACATTTAAAACATTCATATGACTTTACATCGGTTAGTATGCGATGCAGCTCGTTTCGAGCTTCTGATATCCTTTCACTATCACTGCTGTCCACCACAAAGATAAGCCCCTGTGCGTTCTGGAAATAGTGTCTCCACAGTTTACGAATCTGTTGAATAAGCAGACATTGTTTTTCAGATGAACAAAATGATTCAGACCCCATAAGAATCGTTAGAAAGGTCAAGCCTTGAGAGACAAAAGAGAGAAATCTGTGTGTTTATATGCACTTGTAGAGAGGTAAACGATAGATGAATATGGGATTCAACATGGAGTTTACCTTCTCTTGTCCTCCTATATCCCATACAGTGAAATTGATGCCTTTGTATTCTACTGTCTCGAGGTTGAACCCTGGAAAATCGCAAAACAACCAAAACCGGATAAAATGGTTAAACCGTAATGATCCTGATGCAGAACGCAACATCTACATGAGTTTTATCAAGTTATTAAAATGTTCCTTCCTCACGGATACAAACACAATCAAAGAGAAAAAGTAACTATTTACAGACAAAGCTATGATCCACAGAAAATACACAAAAGTATATATGGTTTGGAGCTGTTCTAACTACCCAAACAAAGTTTCTTTCATAATCCTCAATAGATAGATAGACTGAAAATCAACATCTTGCTCTAACTTCATAATCAATCCCTCACTTAGAGAAGTCTCAACAGCACCAAAAAACAAGACAAGAAAAGCTTGTGTTACATACCAATAGTAGGCACTGTTGTGACAACCTCTCCAAGCTTCAGCTTGTAAAGAATGGTAGTCTTCCCTGAACCATCAAGACCCACCATCAAAATCCTTACTTTACTTTTAGGAAGAAACCTTTTCGCTATACGCGAAAATCTGGCTCCCATGTAGAACAAAAACAAAAACAAGGAATCTGAGATATAGTGAAAGAAACACTGCTTTGATATTTCAATTCAAGCTGTCTGGTAGAGGAATAAGCTTGGGCTTATATGAGATCTGTGAAGAGTATTTTACACACATGAGAAAAAATGAAAAATAACTGAAAGTTTGATTTTCAGAATGTAAAGGCAAGCTAAAAGGCAAAATCACATTCTGGAAAAGAATAAATTCCCTAAGGAAGTAAAGAATGGTGTGTCCTTTTCCAAACCCAAAAGCTCATTAGGACACAGAGCAAGACTGGTTAGATTCTGTGTTCTGTCTTTCTCATTCTAGATGCTTATATCAGAATCTTATTCCTTGAGTACATCATCAGCAATATGGAATATTATTACAGGTACACAAGAAAGACACAAAATTGGTATTGCATAAAGATAGTAAAATGGAACAAAATCAGATTCTTTCGGTTAAAACTTGTTCTAAGTGAAGCAATGATAACACAGCACATAAAGTTGAAACATTAATAGCCTCAAAGGTCAAATTCTGAGGCAGACCTTATTTTTCATCTCACCAAGTTTCTCACTCTCTCTTAAGCTACTTGGACACTCTCAAAACTGTAGAAATTTACCAAATTCAAATAAAGCCAAAGCCTTTCTTTCATAAGTTCTCACCTAATTTTGGTAGCAAAACTATAGCTTGAGGAACACAAACTCCTCCACGGCTGGAATTTCACCGATTTTCTTCAGAGTCTCTTTGCTTGGCATGTCATCAACACCAATTGCCATAACCGCTTGCTTCCTCGGCGCGATTCTCCCAACACTCATGAAACTGACATTAACATTCGACTCTCCCAAGATTCTTCCGACAGTCCCGATCATGCCCGGTTGATCTACTTGCCTACACAGTATTATACTTCCTTCAAGACTCACATCTACTTCAAAAGAACCCACCTTTGTCAAATGGGGAACCCCATCTTTCACTCTTCCTTCAACTTTGACTTCTCCAGATTCAGATAGGGCGCTGGCGAATTTGGACTCTACGTTGCCTAGCTGAACCGTGATGGTCTCGAGTGGGCTCTCTGGTGAACCGTCAAGGACACCCCGTTCCTCTGAGATTCTCATACCTCTCTGTTTTGCTGTGTAATCCGCGTTGACAAGGTTTACATACACGTCGGAGATTGGCTCAATGATACCCTTCGTAATCATGGCTCTGAGAAGTCTAGTGTCAAGATCGTCAGTGGCTCGAGCCGAAGCGTAGGTCACTTTCACGTTCTTCACACCGCTTCCTCCAGCCACCAATTGGACAGCCAGTCTCCCTAATTGCTCCGCCAACACCACATATGGTTTCAGCTCAGCGAGAACCTGTGGATATAATAAGCTCAAGTAAATACAATTACACCTCATGACAACATCTCCAATATCTCATTATCTTTCATTGTTTAAGTTGCTGATTTCTTGTTAACATAGACCATACGAAACTCTTACTAGTATAGGCTAAAGAAGGCTAACCTCAGCAGAAACCATAGGTGCATTTACAGCAGTAGAAGCTAGCTCTCCGTTAAGAGCTCCAACAACAGCTTCTGCAATCTCAATAGCTACCCCTTCCTATCAAATTCCAAACATAGTAATTAACCAACAGAAAGTCACAACAAAAGCATCACTTGAAAATTGTTAACACAAATGCAGAACCTGAGCCTCCATAGTACTTGCTCCAAGATGAGGTGTAACAGTAACCCTCTCATGCTGCACCAACTTACTATCCTTAGCCGGCGGCTCTTTAGTAAAAACATCAAGAGCAGCCTGAGCAACAATACCACCATCTAAAGCTCTAACCAATGCATCTTCATCAATAACACCTCCACGAGCAACATTAACAATCCTCACCCCTTTCTTCATCTTCGCAAACGTTTCATCGTTAAGCATCTTCGAAGTAGCAGGTGTAAGAGGCATATGTAAAGAAATGAAATCAGCAGTCGAAAGCGCTTCATCAAAGCTCACTAAATCCACACCAATAGCATGAGCACGATCCGCAGGCGCATAAGGATCATGAGCAATAACACGCATACCAAGTCCTTTAGCACGTCTAGCAACTTCTGATCCAACTTTCCCAAATCCCATCACAGCTAATGTCTTCCCCACTAGTGATACACCAACATACTTATTCCTTTTCCATTCTCCTACATTACACAAAACAAAAACCAAGATTCCTCAGCCACATCATGTAACGCCCCGACCGCCCCTACCAGTGAGCACCCACGACAATACAAGAATCATCAAAAAAGTGACTAACCAGATTTAACAGAAGCATCAGCTTGAGAAACATTTCTAACCATAGCAGCCATAAGTGCAATCCCATGTTCAGCGGCGGCGATAGTATTCGCAGTCGGAGCATTAACAACCAAACAACCAAACTCCGTCGCAGCACTTAGATCTACGTTATCAATCCCAACACCAGCTCTTCCAACAACCTTAAGTCGTCCACGAGACGATTCAAACACATCACGACCTACATTCGTCGCACTTCTCACAATCAACGCATCACATAGTGAGATCTTCGTGTTTAGCTCCTCTGGAGTCAAGTTATAAGAACAATCGACGTTTGCGAATTTCTCAAGTAGCTGAACTCCAGCTTCTCCGAGCTTCTCCGCTACGAGAACGGTTGGTTTAGCTCCGTCTCCGGTAGCAGTGCACGTCACGAGGATAAGCCGTTTTGGGGGAGTATCGCGTTTACTGCGAATAGAAATGGCGGATGGGAGAGGTGATCTGGAGGAGAGAGATGAGATTTTGTGGGGATTCACGGCGAGTTTGGCCGAGGACGTTACGGCGGCGGCGGCGGCAGACATTGGAGCTGTGTAGTGGGTGTAAGTGAAGAGAGGTTGGTGGCTTAGTAGACGAACGAGATCTGAGTTTTATGTATAATCAGAAATGTTTTGGTTAATCTCAGATTCTTAATTATATTATTTTGTATGATTAATTAAGAGAGTTCGTAAAGTAATTTTATTTTGTTGATTCATTTCATATGCAACAATGTTGATTTTTGAGATTTCTCCTATGAATCTATCTATACGGAAAAAGCTTGACATTATTCAGACTTTCAGAGAATGACAGAATTAATTGGATATCGGTTTAACCCGGTTTATTTAAATTGATTAAAATTATTTGAGAAAACCAATTTGTTGGTTTGTTATTGAGAGCCTGAGAGGTATAACCCGGTTTATGTGATTTTCTATACCATTTCATTATTATTTTTCAATCTTATCATTATCTTTTCTGTTCCATTTCTTTTTTTTTTTTTTCTTTTCTTTCGAATATTTGGAAGTTCAAGCCCGAAGATCCTACATTTTCCAGAGGCGGGATTCACACCAGGTTAAATTCATCTTCTTCGAAGAAGAGATCCTCCCGACGGGCGTCGAACCCAGTACCTCCATCAGGAAGATTTACCACTGGGCCAACACAACGTTGGTAGATTCCATTTCTTCATTAATCATTACTTTGAATTACCAATTGAATTTGGTTTTAAAACATTAACATTTTGTGTAATAATCTTAGATGTAGTTAGGGGTGTCAAAATGGGTTAATACCCATGGGTTACCCGAACCCGCCCATGATTTTAGTGGGTTTGGGTAGAATTTTTTTACCCATATATATAAATGGGTTTTAGTGGGTTACCTTATTAGGGTTATGAGTTTAATGGGTAAAACCCATTAGGGTCATGGGTTACCCATGGGATTCATAACCAAAACTAAAAAGTAAAATTTATATATATCTATATTGATATATTATGTAAAATTTATATAAATATATGTAAAATATCTTCTTTTCTTTACAACTATATATGTAAAATATCTAAAATAACTATTAAAGTTTACATTTTACCTAAAAATAAAAGTAAAAAGTAAAATATATGTATAACATTATTTTAATTAATTTATTATTAAAAGTAAAAAGTAAAATATATGTAAAATATATGTAAAATAAAAGTAAAAAGTAAAATAACTAGATTTTTTTAATTTATTATTTAAAAACTTTTGTTGGTTTACAATTTTATGTTATTTATTTTGGATTTTTATTATTTATATATTTTATTATACATATATATGGGTACCCATATAACCCATTAAGCCAATGAATTTCTACAATAATGAGTTTGGGTATGTAAATTCAACCCATATAAATATATGGGTCGGGTCAAACCCGTCCATTAAACACTCGAACCCATATGGGTTTGGGTCGGGTCGGGTCGGGTTACCCATTTTGACACCCCTAGATGTAGTGACTTTTAACTCTAGCTCGTGTGTTATTTACGATCGTAGTCAGTGAATTAAGAATCGGAGAAAGTAGAAAACTCTTGACATAGTAATATTATTGGATAACAATGCAGTTTTGAAATAGGAGAATTTTTTTTTAATAATACAAAGATCAACGATTCTTAGAATGATTTCATATAAGAGAAAATGAGAGTTGCTAGGAATCTAAACTTGCTATAAAATCCTAATTATATAGGTTTGTGGGTTTCTCATTAGATAATATTTGCGTTTTCTATGAATGCTCTAGTAAAATGACAAGGGAAATATGATTCTATAACCAACAAAAAATTAATAATTAAGAAATTAACACTTAATAAAAAAAACCGATATTGTGCATATTTGATGTAATAAAGACAAATCTAGCATCTGTTTGAAGTTCAAGCTCTTATTATTCTTATCTTCTTCTTCTTACTTGTTGCGTGAGAAATCTTATTTCTTGGCTACCATAAAAATTTGAATTGAGGTTTACTTTTATCGAAATTACAGTCACGAAATCTGCAGCTTCTGATTTCTTCTACGATAGGCCTGTATAGTTTCGAAGAGAGAAAGGCTTGTAAATTGCAGAAGGGTTGTCTATTTGAGGTTACGTTACTGATTTGACATTTCTTAAGGGGTGCTACTGAAATTTACTTGGGTTAAAACTAAGCCACGTCACCCTATCTCTCAACTTTGTCAGTCATCTTCACGTGCCTCTCATTTCCATCTTGACGAATGAGAAGGAGTTTCTAGTCTTTTCAGGTACCTTAGATGCTAAGGACTTCATTTCCAACTTTGTGGTGCTATATATTTAATTTCATCTCCCAAAAGCATCACTTTTACAAATCACCTAAATGACAATATGATACTTTATCACGAAAATAAAAAGAAATAAAAAAAAAAGAAAACAATTCAAATGACACAGTAATCCATTTACACTGATATCTTTCTAAATTGAATAAAGTAAACAACTAAACAAACATTTTCTCTAACACTTGCACCACTTCCTTCATGGACGGTCGCTTTTGAGGCAAGGAAGAGACACAACCATAGCCTAACTTCAAGCATGCAACAGCCTCATCCTCGCGGTGAGCCACATCATCCCTAATTGTCCCATCGACCAACCTCAAGAACCAACTTTTCTCATCGGTCTCAGAATCGCGAACCAAATCTCGATCAACCGAAAAAACTCTACCTGTGAGAAGCTCCAAGACTATAACACCAAAGGAATAGACATCCCATTTGTGGTTTGGCTTTTGGCTTGTCGACCACTCTGGTGGATGGTGCTGTGGGCTCGACACTGGTCCAGCCGTGAGTGAATGGGCCGGAGCCATAATACGATCAAGGCCCATATCTGTAATTATGGGCTCAAACTCGGAGTCCAAGAGAATGTTATTGGCCTTGATGTTGCCGTGCACATGCTTCTTCTCGTGGATGTAAGCAATTCCTCTAGCTATTCCTCTTGCTATCTTAAGCCGTGCCTCAAATGAGAGAGGATTATGAGAAGACGAGCCTGATTTTGCTGTTTTCAGATCAAACAAAATAAATGTTTAACATATATTCGGAAAAAAAAAAAATCTAGTTTCGAAATTAGATCAATAATAAACTCAGTGTTCTAAAAAGCGGTATAGGCGGTCGCATAGACTCCGACTAAACGCTAGGCGTTCAGGTTTAAATGATCGCTTTGACCGTCTAAAATAACATAAATCTTGGTTTAGTGTATTATTTTCAATTTCCAACTACATATGTTTAAATTTAAATGTTTTATCTCAATAGACATGGTTATAACCTTTCATAGGTTGTTTGATATAAATTAAAAAAAAAGTTTTTCTCTAATTTTTGTTTATAATTTAATAATTTTATTTTTCTTATATATTTTATATTATTTTTATCTATAATATTATATTTATAATATCTATACTAGTATAATCGCAGCACTTTTTGTGACGGGTGGGTAAAAAAGCTTTCGGGTATATCGGATATCCGACCCATTTTAAAAAATTCTTCACAAAAAATTTGTTGGGTCGGGTTATATTTAACCCAACTCATACACCGGATATTCCATATTTAATAATTTAGATTTTTAGAAGATTTGATTAAGATTTATAATTATGATTCTCCTATCATCTTTGTTTTATTTGTTTTTAATTGTTTTGAATCATCATATAATACATAAAGTAAAAAAAAAATCAATTTTTTTTCTGCATATACTATGATTCGAAATTTAAAAAACGGACATATATTATCCAATTGACGAAAATGTGTGTTCAACGTTCTACATCGATTAAAATATTTAGACAATGATTCAGAATCATATCATAAATAAGAACATTAATAAAATAAATAAGTTTTTTGGCGGGATGGGTTTGGCAGGACGGGTTTTTGAATCAACAATAATAAAAAGATTAAAATATCATTAATCCGCCGCTTCAATACGGATTTAATCCTTATTTTTTTTAATACAAATCACAGGACGGGTTAAGAAATTACGGAACGGGTTATATTTCGGAAATGATTTATATGGCGGACGAATTTGAATCAATATTTATATACCGCTTTAATACGGGTTAAATCCTCAGTTTATTAATAATTATCTCGTGGACTCGTGGTATACCGTTACTTAATAACAATTGTAAACTATAATATAAATAAATATGTTATAAGGAGATACAATTTACAAAATATTTTTATACTAACTTTAAAATTAAATCATCCCGCGATGTACCGCAGGTTAAATTCTAGTTTTATGTTATAAACGCTTTAACTGCCTAAAATCACTTAGGTTCCGATTAAATGTTCTAAGCACTAGGCGTTAGATCACCGTCTCCTTAGAGTCTACCGGTTTCTTGAACATATAATAAACTAAGAGAAGCGTGCTAAAATACGCCGACTATTAGTGCGTATTATAGCAAATATGAAGTAACGTACGCCGTTTATGGAAACTTACCGGAGATGGAGGAGAGAGGTAGGCTTCCATTTGGGACATAGTCGGAGATGAGAAGCTTCTCTTCTTTCCCCCAGACGAAGCCACGAACCCTAACGAGATTTGGGTGGCGAAGTTTAGCGATACCCTGAACTTCCTTTTCGAATTCCTTAAATTTCGCCGCCGGACAACTCTCCGCACCAATCCGCCGCACCGCAAAAGCCTCACCGTTCTCTAACACCGCTTTATACACGATTCCGTCGCTTCTGCTGGTTCCAAGTACGTAAGCTGATGCCTTTAATAGAGTATCTAGCTCTAGCTGAGTCTCTCCATCCACCGTCACTAGTTGAGTTTCAGTATTGTGTTTTAGACGCCCACCACTTGTTCGATTAAATGCCTCAATGGGTTTCTTGTCTTGAATTTGGTTCTCTACGTCACTCTCAGATGATGCTGACGTTGTTTCGTCGTACCCTCTAATTATCCACGAGCCACATCCCATTTTTGCAGGTGGAGATTTCGTGAACTCCGAGGCGGCGGCTAGGTTGTGTTTCGATTTCTTGACGGATAATGTATCGTTTTTCTCTAGACATTTTTGTAAGACGTTGAAAGTGCTGTATTCTTGGTAGCTTCTACGTTTCTTGAGCTGGTATATGTAGAGGATAAACATGGCTATGAGAGATAGAGCAGCTATATCTGCAAGTGTAATGCCGACGATTTTGCTTGGTTTTAGTTTGCTTTTGGCTGTTTGATTTGGTGATTCTATTGATGGAGTTGTTGGTGTTGGAGTTTTGGGCATGACTGCTATTGCTGGTGAAGTAGTTTCAGAGATATTTGGTGGGTCTGATAGAGTAGAAGGGATTGAACAAAGGGTGTTTAGTGGCTGACCACACAAGCCTATATTACCAGAAAAAGACTCGGTCTTTTGGTTAAGCAATGGTTGTGTACTAGGGATTGGTCCTGTTAGATTGTTGAAGGAGAGATCAAGGATGGCGCTTGCTGGAAATTTCTCGGTGAAAGATGGAGATATCATGCCGAAGATTTGATTTTGTGATAGGTTGAGGTAATGCAGACTTGTTCCTCCAAAGTCCGGAGGAAGAGATCCGTCTAGAAGATTTGAGGAAACATCCAGAACCTGTACTGATTCAAACCCGCTTGGAATATCGCCTGAAAAGGAATTCTTCGCCAAGGAAATGACTGTCAGATTCTTGAGAAGGGGGAGATTGGGAGGGATTTTGCCGGTGAAGGCGTTGGCAGAGAGATTCAAGAGCTGGAGACTAGCCACGTTGCTGATACTACCGGGTAGTTCACCAGAAACCTTGTTGTTACCAAGGGATAGAACACGAAGCTCACTGGCATTGGACACAGAATCCGACAGTGACCCATGGAAGAAATTGTTGGAGAGATCCAAGATCCTTAGATGTAGGATTGAAAACAAGTCGGGAGAAACAGAACCGAGAAGCTGTTTGTTGGGAAGAACCAAGCTTGTTACTCTTAACATGTCTGGGGTGTTGGGAGTCCCAAGCTCTGTACAGGTAACACCGGTCCAAGAGCACGGTGTTTCATCGTCGTAGTTCCAGTTTCGTAGAACAGAGAGAGGGTCATTGAGGATAGAGTATTTGAAAGAGAGTAAGGCAACACCATCAGTGTTAAGCGCTTGGATAAGAGTAGGGAGAAGTAGAAAAAAAAGATGGAAGAAGAGGTTGCTTCTGATGGAAGTCATGGTTTGAGTTCTTAGGTTTTCTCTTTTCTCTTGAGTATGTTTATGAAAATGCCTATTCATAGGATAGAGAGATGAGAAAGAGAGATGGTGAACCACTGCAAGTAATGATTGTTCTGTTCACCAAATTTTTTGAGATATTGGAGCAAAGCAAAACTATGAGGTTCTGCTTTGAGAAGGTGAGGTTGAAAGAGATAAAGGGGTTGGTAATTTTTTAATTCTTTATTCTTTTTTGTTTTGGTGAGCAATTCTTTATTCTTTTTGTCGTTGTTATTTTCTCATTTAGTAAGTACTTTGTCTTTTTTCGAAGTTCGTAAAAATGTCCGCAAAATTATAATGTTTTTTTTTTTGGGGTAGAATTATTATTCTTTGTTTTGTGTTTCTTCTGATCCAAAAAAAAAGAATATTCATAATTTTTGAATGTGGATTTAAACTTGAGATGTTTCCGAGAAAATGTATATATATATATATATACAAGGCCGGTCTTAGATTTTAAGTGGCCTAAAGCATAATTTTAAAAATATGGCTTTGAATTTTTTTTTTTTTAAAATAAATAAATTAATAACACAATAAAAAGGACAAAAACTAACCGAGGAGACTTGAAACTGGGAGGGAATCAGTAAATGTTACAGAGGAAAAGCTACTAGACTGTTGAGACTTTCTAAAATGTGGCCTCATTATTTTCTATATGATATATGGCCTAAAGCATATGCTTTAGTTGCCTTATGGATGGGCCGGTCTGTATATATATATAGGGATGTCAAATAGAAGGCAAGCAGGCGTAGAAGGCTACGTTGGATAGCTGAAAAGTATATATATATATATTGGGAATGTTCATTTTCATTATGCTATCCAATTATTCTTTGAATAATTTTCTCGAATTGATTGTGAATGCACTATGCTATTGGAAATTGAAAGCCTTCTTGTGGCAAACATATTAAAATCAGTAAATCACTACACCGTTGACCTGAACTTGTATAAAACTGTCTTTATTTAATTTATATATTTTTTGTTTTGTGTAAAGTAAGGAAATGCCTCTAATCAAAAAGTGAAGTAAGTGAAACAAAGCCATTAAGCATCATTTGTTAGCTCCTTTCTAACCTTACACTTTGTAATCATTTGCAGTAGCTCAAACAAACAGGTAACCAAAAATGATTGATGGAAACCTATAGTTAAACTTAAAATAAACACACAAAAAAGGTTAAACTTTTGAAATAACATATTTCATGAATTTTCAAATGATCATGGCTATGATTTGTTGCATGCTGGAGTAAAAAGATGGAACTGAGAGTAAAAAATAATAGAGGTAAAACAAATTTATATTCTCACGTAAATATTTTCTTTGGAAAAAAATATCGAAAAAAAACGTAAACTTTCAAATTTGGGACAAAAAAACATGAATTTTCGAAATATCATGTAAATCCTAAAGTTTAGTTTGACTTTTCGATTAAATGGTCAAGTTTCGTTGACTTGGCCATTTCGGACATGTCATTAACTTTCTATTACAGACTATCACGGAGTTAACTTTCCGTTAGAAGTTTCCGTTGAAATGACTTCGTTTTATTAGAATATAAGAAAGAAAAACTACATCCACGAAGAATCGAACTGCTGACTTTTGTGGACTCATAAGAGATTCTCAAACGGTGAGCTACAATAATATTTCGATATTATAGCAAATAGAGCATAGATATATACTAAAAATAACAATATACAATTACCTAAAAACTTATGCCACCTTTTGTAACTATTATCAATTAATAACCAATATTTAATATTTGCGCCAATTATGTATCGGGAAAAATATCACAAAATTATAAACTTTCGAAATTGGGACGATTTAATCATGAACTACGAAAAAGACATATAAATCGTAAAGGTTTTGTTGACTTTAAAATTAATTAACAAAGTTTGGTTGACTAGCCATTTTAGACATAGCGTTAAGTAGGCTAACAGAAAATGATTACGGTATTACACTCCCGTTTGCCTTCTCTATTATGTAAAAATGATATTTGATTATTGTAGCGACAAAACGACGTTGTTTCGACGATTTGGGAAAACTTAAACCTAAATCCCCAAATCGATTTCATTCCTTAACCCTAGAACTTCTTCTTCGAGACCACCTCCATCGTTGCTTCTTCTTCCACACCACCTCGATCGTTTACTTCTGCCTCGACACCACCTGCATCATTTACTTCTGCCTCTGACACCACCTACATCGTTTTCTTCTGCCACGACACCACCTCTTTCATTTTCTTGTGGAACACATACCATGTCCCATTGTCCCTTTTCACCAACTTCTTCGTTGTTCAACAGAGGGAGCGAGAGAGAATTCTAGAGTTAAGGAATGAAATCGATTTGAGGATTTAGGTTTAAGTTTCCCCAAATCATCGAAACGACGTCGTTTTGTCGCTACAGTAAACAATATCATTTTGACATAACAGAGAAGGCAAACGAGAATTTAGTTTTCTATTCGCCTACTTAACGTTGTTAACCAAATTTTGTTAATTAATTTTAGAGTCAACAAAAATTTTACGATTTATATGTTTTCTTCGTAGTTCATGATTAAATCGTCCCAAATTTGAAAGTTCATGATTTTTTTGACATTCTTCCCATTATGTATCTAATGACATTGTCTAGTATATTTTATTTAAAAGTAGTTAAAGATATCACCAATTATCTGGCGCCAATTTTAGATAACAACTATTATGGGCCAAGTATATTATAAAAATATATATATATCTAATTTATGTTATGAATTAATGGGTTGTTATATGGATGCACATTATAAGCCCATTAGAAAGTTCTAGATTACTTTGACTCAAATCTAAACCCTAATGTTTGTATCCCTATATGTATGTTATCTATATATACATTTTTGGATGACTTTTAGCAAATAAATCCTGGAGTTGGAATGTATTTACGGATGAATGCCATTGGCATTAATTATTTAAATTTGAAAAATATTAATTAAAGATATTACCAACACGATTTCGAGAATCATAAATTCATATCTTCCTTAATTTTCTGAGTCATTAATGTGATAATCTTTAGGAAATATTTCTCTGTAAAAAAAAAAATCCACATTAATGAAGGCATTAAAATTGACATAATATATGGTGCGTTTATTTTAGTTAATATCTAATTTAAAGGATTTGTTTTCTTTTATTATTAATAAACGAATAACATGTATAGAAATAAAAGATTTTTCTTGCGACTCCATAATAAAAATATTAAACTCTTATTTTCTACATTTCTTACACATAATATCCTCTTATTCAATAACAAAAAATATATATTGCATATTTTTAAAAATATTTATAATATTTAAATTATATAAAAAGTTTGTAATATTAATATTATTTCAACTCTATACAAATTTAATATATATGTATATATATCTTATGGGAACCATTTAAAAGAAATTTTTAAATTGACTTGAATTATATAGCTTTTAAATAAAAGTATTATTAAAAAGAAAAATAACTAAATGATGTTTAATTTCACGGGATGGGTAATATGATGGGACGGGTTTGGGTTGATATTTATAAAAGATAGTATACCACGGGTGAAATCCTAAAATTAACAATCAAAATAATCTATCAAACAAATTACATTTTGATTTTTTTAAGAAAATATAGCCCCGCGGTGTACTGCGGGTTAAAATCTAGTATCTTATACAATTGATCAATAACAGAGAGTTACAAACTCTAAAACTTTTTTGTTCACAACAATTTAAAAATATTTCGCGCCATTTGTAGTAAAGTGTCTTTCTCTAATTATATCTACTGGCTAGTGACACAACTGTATTTAATAAATAGGTAACACATATCTTTTTAAGTAATAAACTATTACATATGTTAAGTATATAGAGCTAGAATAGTTAAAAATATCTTTTTCTAATTACATATAGACAAGAGATATATATTATTCACTTCCCTTATATGTATTGACATTACTTGGAAAACATTCCGAGACACTTGTATATATATTGTGAGTAATGTAATGAAAAAGCTATCGAGATGTACCAATTTACATGTATCAATTATCATTAAAGATAATTAAAATATTTTGAACCAATCATCTTTGAAGACAATTGTATGTCAAATAATTATTAACAAATCAAATAAATGATTTAAACAATTGATGAGTTCAATATAAACATTAAATTAATGATGATGTGGATGCATGAGAATGGAGAACATAAGAGAGGAACTTACTTATACTTAAAATATTGCTAGTCAACCAAAAATTAATCCAAATATTAGACAAAAATAAAATAAATTGTTGTGAACTGTGTCCTCTCATTAATAGAATAAGGGATATATATACAATGATAATAGCAGGATACATAGAATAAGGTAAAACCCTAATGGGCCATGGGCCGGTTATGGAGTCCATCCATATGGTTTATAACACTCCCCCTTGGAAGACATAACCGTGCCCGATACTAAACCGGGATCTCTATAATGCGCTGGGGAATGTTGCCTCATTAAAACCTTACCAGGAAAACCCAGTGGGACAAAACCATGGTGAAGGAAAAAGAGTACAACACGCATTACTCTCCCTGATTTGAGCATCACTGTAGATCCTTAAGTCCGCGCATCCCGATCTGATGAATGAGCTTCCGGAACGTTGAAGTCGGCAATGATTTGGTGAATAGGTCGGCTGAATTCTCACTTGACCGGATCTGTTGAACTTTGACCTGACCGTCCTTCTGTAATTCATGAGTGAAGATGAACTTAGGCAGAATATGCTTCGTTCGATCCCCTTTGATATAGCCATCCTTTAGTTGAGCAATACAAGCTGTGTTGTCTTCAAATATGATGGTCTTTGATGTAGTAGTAGTAGTAGTAGTAGTAGTATTAGTAGTAGTAGTAGTAGTAGCTGCGCCTTAAGGAAGACTGCCTACGTACCCTTGGAAGGGATCAAGCCACACGTAATTCCTATTCATTGACCATGCCATAATCTGATCTTATGAATAACCTGCATCAGCAAATCAAACTAAACCAAAACAAACTGGATCTTCTTTGGTTAGATCAGTATAGAATAAACCCAAGTAAACAACGCAGGAAGAATAAACTTTAAAATTTAACCAAACCTTCCTTTAAACCTTTCCAGTGCCTTTGGGTTGATCATGAACTAAATTTAGACAGGAGACTCACGGCAAAACAAATGTTTGGTCTAGTGTGTCTAGCAAAATTCATTAGAACTCCTATGGCACTGAAGTATGGCATTTCCGGACTGAGTGGATCACTATCCAATATGAGGCTTCTCACCACCATTGGGCCTGGTCAATGGGCGGGCCTGGTCCTTATTAAATTTCCTTGAGTACTCTTTCAGTGTATGCCATTTGATGCACAAGGATTC